TATATATATATATATGCTTACACAAAAAAGTACATGCAATACTTACATGCATGTAAATACAAGTACTTAAAAACATACAATACATACATGTAAAACTATGTATCTCTCCATATATATGTTTATGCGTATACATGTAAATACACAGAGACTTTCTAAATAGGTATCAGAATAGTGCTAAATCTGGACCAACCCTTTGAATACTTATATAATCATGATAGGCAGGGTTCAATTTCAAAACCTATGCTGGCTCACACTCTGCAGCATGCAGGATATACCTTGGCACATAGGTAAGAACAGACAAGCAGAGGGAAAAGGAACTGGTGCCCTTTCTGTATCTATCAATTATGCTCTGCTCTGAAATCCTGAGCAACAGAATTTCCTTTCTACAACAACTTCCTTCATTTCTACGGATTAAAGCCACACAGCAAATTCTCATACAAGGTACATTGTTCTTTAAACCACCCCCAACCCCCAGAGATGCCTCAAACCAAACTCAGTTCCTTGGGGTCTGGCACACACACCAACTCCATGCACCCACCTAGTCCCGAAACATGCAAAGTGTAGTCTGGAAGCTCACTGTACCTCGACAGCTCAGGGAAGGCTCAGACTGTGTTTTGGTCAGAAGAACTGGAAAAGGCAGGTAACAAGAGAATGAGGAACAGCTTGGAGACCTGCAGCAGCCAAGACCAAAGTTCTGGCCACTCCTTCAGCCCTGAGTTGGGATTATACTGTCCAGGTAGTGACAAGGGAATATGCTGAGCTGGCCTGCACCTCCAGGCCCATCCTCCCAAGCCACATGGATGCACAGGCTGCTAAGCTGGCTGTGAACACAGAGGGCAGCAGAGCTTTGGGCTTCTTGGAGCTGCACTAGCAGATACTCCAGATCACAGAAACACTGACCAGCAGTACCTATCTTCTTGCTGCTGGCTTCCTTTGCTCCAGCACCTACAGAGCTGTGGAGAAGAAGGCTACATCCACCCCACCTCACCCCCACCCCCGTGTAAAGGCACTCCACTTACACCCTAGCAGGCCCACAGCTCAGCAGCCAAACAAAGAAAGACCCTTAAGGATGCCCTCTGGAAAGTTCTCTTCCCTTCTTAGAAGTTTGTTGATTAGTAGAATGAGGTGAAGTCATACGACAGGAGAGTAGTCAATGGCAACACAGAAGGCATGGTCCAGGGGAAAGGTATAGTCGGCCTTAGGCTGGCGAGGCCTCCTCACCATGGAGTAGGGAGATGGTCACAGCACTGAGCCACCTGTACTTTGGGTCCTGGGAGCAGCTAGTTCCAGTCAATGGCAGAAATGCTTCAAAACCTGAACAGTCCACTTGGCTACACTTCCTTTCTGAAGCTTCCCCTGCCTGTAAATTACAAGACTTTGCCCTTGCCCTGCTGAAGGCTTCAGTTCCTGAGTTCCAGGTAGCCTAGAGCACAGGGGCTTCTCAACAGAGTCAGGTCTGTGTGACTTCTCCAAGAATCATTTCAACTTCGGCCCTTCAGGACCTGTCGACATGTCCAAGTGTTAAAACCCAAAGGAAGCACTCAACGTGCCAGCCTTTCACTTTTGCATTCCTAAACAGACAGTTTTTCCTTTTCCTTTCCCTCTTTTCCTTTTGTTACCAAATGGAAACTTTGTTCCTAAAATATCCATAATCCAAGCTTAACTATAACCAGAGATACACATCCATACCAACTGGGTCTGTGGGCCTGATGTTGAGAGCTCTACTGCGTGCATTTTAAAAGGACACTTGCCAGCTACCATGAATGAAGCCATGAGTTCAACCTCAAGTACCACGAGAAAAACCCAACCAGAAAAAAATACAAGATGTATTATTCTAAGTGTCAAAGCACTTTTTTCAAAATACTAACTAGTCCATAAACTTCATACTACCTGGAACCAAAACCCTCCCTTTAATGTCAAAAAAGACAATGAACCCAGAACCCTCAGGAAGAGGAGGGTTGAACAGTGCAGACTGGACCCACAGTGACATTATGAACACTGATTTCATGACACATTTTATAACAAGAAAAACAATTCATTTTCATTGCAAGAAATTCTTTAAAAGATGAAAAAGACTGAATTTTCAGTGCAATCTATGTGATACTTGGAGAATAAATAAAACAGGCAGCTGACAGAAAATGAAGCTCTCTTATTAAGACTATCTGGAGGGAGGGTGATTTACCCACGGCTATCTCCCCAACCTCATAAAGAAACTTTCTGTTGTGTTAACTTTTCCTGGGTGATATGAACAAATGTGTACTCAGTCCAAACAGGACACTAACTACAAACCAACAAAACGGTTCCACCTAAGACTAACTTGGTGAACCATGGAGTTTAATTGGGGTTAATTAATAGGAGCATGGATACTTAGAGATGCCTGTACCACCAAAGAAAAGAACAGCCTCCACTGTCTCCACCCAGATACATATCCTTGGAGAGAGGTGGACCCTCACGAGTCTAATGCATTGCCTCTTGTGCCTTCACTCTCTATCCATGATGAAGTGTTAACTGGTCCAATTTTGTGAGTGTCTCATGCGAGCAATCACAGCTGTTATGATTTTAAAATGGCAACAGCTACAGCATGGCCAGAGGAGAGTTCCACAATACATTTATAAATTCTATTCTAAAATTCTAAGGTGAAGGACTATGACCAAGCCTTTATATCAATCAGAAAAACCTGATTGTGCAATACACTGCTTTCCATACCAACATTACAAGGGAACTGCACTCATCTGTGGCTCTAATGATGACCTCCATAAGCACCAAATTCACAGTTGTCTTCAGAGACTAATCTCAGGAACCATAAGTTTTGGTTGCATCAGAAGGCAGCTGAAGTGCCCTTTGCAGCTGGTCTGGGAGAAGTAAAGAGCTGAACTGAGAACTCAGGAGAACGCAATGAGTGGTTTTCTGAGCAGAAACAACTAAAGGTCTATTTCTTGCTATCCTTTTTCCTTTGCCTTTACTTGTCAAAGCTCACAGACAGAATGTAGGAGTCACATGCAGAAGAAGGAGGAAAGGGGCATACTTAAGTCACAGTGAATGAAACAAACCAAATTCTCTTTTATGCCTATGTCACCACTGAACAAAAATTGAAGTGCTTGAAATTCTTCATACCCATCTCTATGTAGTACAGCTGAGAGCTTCAAGGAGCGAGAGCAGGTTTTGTGTGCATACCTTGTCACTGCATCACTACACTGCAGGGTGTGTACAATAGGGCAGGCCTCACCTCTTCTATTGTCCCATGCGTATAGTTCTTTTATTCCCAGTTCATTCAGAGACTTGGATAGTTCCAGCTTCTCCCCAGCAACATTGTCCCTGAGCAGAACCACATGATCCGGGCTGACATCACACTTTGCACAGATGACTGGCAGAATGTTCTGCAGTGGCACCTCAGGGCTCACACGCACAACAGCTTTCTGTGTTCGTAGGTAATTCACTACCAGACGCACAGATTTCTGGAAGAACACAATAGCTGTGAGTACACCTTTCTGCACTTGTTTTAACTTCTATTTCAATTTTAGAATTGAGTACCACAGCAAAGTCCAACCCTAACCCTTCTTTCACCAATTTGTTGAGTTCAAGGGAAAACAGAGCAATGAACATTGAACAATAAATATATAGATATTAGATGTATGTTAGAATCTCTCTTATTAATAAGCAAACTGCTAAACAACATGTGGCCTGATAAGAGTAAGACTCTGTGCTGGATAGCTTTAGTGTCAACTTGACACCCCTGGGTTAAGGGAGCCTCAACTGGGGAACTGCCTCCATAGGACTAGCCTGTGGCCATGTCTGTGGGGCATCTTCTTGATTGTTAAGTGATGTGGGAGGGCCCAGCCCACTGTGGGCAGTCTCACCCCTGGGCAGGTGGGCCTACATTGTATAAGAAAGCAGGCTGAGCAGGGGCCAGGGAGCAAGCCAGTAAGCAGTGTTTCTCCATGGCCTGTGCTCCAGCTCCTGCCTCCAGGTTCTTGCCCTGAGTTCCTACCTTGGGCTTCCTGATGAATTGTGACCTGGAAGATATAAGCCGAATAAACCCTTTCCTCCCCAGATTGGTATTGGACAGCGTATTTTGTTACAGCAATGGAGGGACAAACTAGGACAGACTCTAAACTTAAAATCCAGGACATGTACTACCTTTCAAAGGTTCTGATTAGACTTGGACACAAAGCATTTATATACATTTTGTAAAAGGAAACTGAAAATAGTATGAATTGCTTAAAGAAAAAAAATCTCATAAAACATAAATGTTTCCTTAAGGAGTCAAAATATCTGCATAAATACGAATATCCCCATGAATCTATGTAAGTATGTAAAGGGTACTATATGTACTATAAGTACACATAAAGTATACACAGAAGTGTATGGATATATATACACCAAATATACATATTTTAACCATCTGTTTTCAAACATCAGACATAATATTCAGGAAGAAAAACACTTATTTTCTCTACACTGGCTGATTCCACGCAAACACAGTGATTCTAAGTGGCCCACCAATAACGTACAGGATTGAAAGTTTCATGCAGACTGCCTCAGTTCAGCCTTACTGCTTACTTCATGGTGCCAAGGCCTTGCAAAGTTCAAGCAGGGTGCATGGAGTGACAGAGAGAAAGGTTGTGGACCCCTTCTGGCCTGAGTATGGGGCTCAGTGGCCTTAGTGATGTGGACTTTAGGAAAAAAGGTGGGGCATTGACCTGACCCATGCTTTCTTAAGAGGAACCATGAACATAACCTGGGCTCAACTGTCCCTGGAGACCAGGCAGCTACATGAAGCCACAGGATGTGAAGAGGGTCCCTCTCCATAGAACATTGACTCTGAAGAATAAGGTAGATTCTCCTGTGGACTTGATATAGAAGGGGGCCAATGACATTTTATTGATCACTAAACCTAGAAACTCACAGGAGACAAATTACTGGCCAAACCGCCAGTTTTGAAAGCTAAAAACTTCAGCGTATCTTCTAAGAATGTAAAAAAGTCAGGGGTCCTGCTTTTTCGAGCCTAAAGACCACCCTCAAAGCCTCATTACAGGGGCTGGAGAGATGGCTTAGAGGTTAAGAGCACTGGCTGCTCTGCAGAGGACCTGTGTTCAGTTTCCAGCACCCACATGGTGGCTCACAACCATCCTTGGCTCCAGTTCCAGGGGATCTAACGCCCTCTTCTGGCCTCTGAGGGCACTGTACTGCACACATACATGCAGGCAAAATATTTAGATACAAAGATTAAAAGCCTCATTACAAAGCACTGTAAGAATTTAGGATTAATTGTACTTGATAATCTATGGCTACAACAAAACTAAGTATATATTTCCTAAATAAAACAAACTGAATATTCCAGGCAATTTTTTTAAAGTCCTTCCTCTTCTCTTTGACTAAGATGGCAAACTCTTTTATGGAGCCCTGCCTCCCTAGGACCAAAGAAATCTCCAGAACTACATAATCCATGGAAACAGTTACCAGTTAATTAATTAAAATTTAATAAAATCGAGAACTCAATTTTTTGATCATATTAGCCACATGTCAAGTATCTAAAAGCTACATATGACCTGTGGCTGCCATGCTGGGAAAGGCGGATTTATGAAAATTTCCATCTTCAAGATAGTTTTGATAGATATCTAACTGCTTTACACTAGTTCCAGCTGTGTAACATATAAAAGATCAACAATACACAATAAACATTATTAAATTCTGAACATTCTATTTCCTATAATAAATGCAATTAGAACCTAACTGTGCTTCACATGGAAGAAAAACCACAGCACAGTTCTGTGCATTAGGTCCTCAGACGGACAGCAGTCCTGGTCCTCTTTAACACATCCTGCACATTCACGCTCAGGTCTGTATCTCTGTATACCCTCACACAACATGCAGCTACCACTGACCTCAGGCACCCTGGACAGGACAGGCTTCACCTTCTCTTCAGGGACTTTTTCCTTCAGAAACACAGTGTGGACATTCAACGACCCAACCAAAGTATTTGGCTTAAAACTCAAAGGCTGTTGGGTTTCTGAAGACCAGATCTCCAGGACATAGTGGGAAGGATTCAGGTGGTTCTGAAGGCAGAGTTCAACCAGAAGATCCATCATTGCATGACTGGAAAAGGGAAAACAAATCATGATTATCAGCACCCTCCCTTCTGCCTGGTTCAGTAAGGGAGGACAAATGAACACAGATGCATGAGGAAGCTAGACATGCTTGCAAAGAAAGACAATAGCTACTCTTTAATTTCTTATGCATGATTTCCTAGTGACATGTTAACATTTTCAATGTTAATAAACAGCATTACTAAAACAAAAACATTGTGATAACTGATCAAAATCATAATAGCTAGAAAAATAGCTGTTTTAAGTTAAATCTATGGGTCTGCTGGGTGAATTACTTAAATTCTATGAGAAAAAAAATGAGGCTACTTATGGTTACATGATATTGATATTAATTTTTCAGTTATTTGTAAGTATAATGTACCTCCAGAAGAAATCTGTGTTGAAGAAATTGATAGGTATTATTATGAACAACAATGTACCAACAAATCAGAAATCTAGTAGAAATTGAGACATTCTACCAAGACTGAACCAAAGAAAAACAGAAATCTGGAAAATATGAATAAAAAATAGAGACCGAATCAGTAATTGAAACTCAATAGAAAGTAAAACCTAAAGCCAAAAGGATACAACAGGAAAGTATTCCAAATATTCAAAGAATAGCACTACTGTTTCAGATGGAGAGCTCAGCGACGAGGAGGCCTGGAGCACCTTTCACACCATTGCTTCTTAAAGTCTTCCAAAAAAATGAAAGAGGGAAACATGCCCAAACTAATTATTAAGTCAGCACAGTGCTGACAGCAAACACAAAGTACCAGCAACCCACAGACTAACATCTGCCATAAACATGGCTGCGCCATGACCAAGTGGAATCTATCCCTGGAATGCAAGCCGGGTTCAATATATACACACAAGTCAATGAATGTGGCCCATCACACTACCAAAATGAACCAAAACATATATGCATCTTGATTCATACCCCCCCAAAAAAATCTGACAAAATTCAACATCCATTCATGATGAAGAAAACTTCCTATAAAAGGTACGGAAGGAACTGACTTCAATATAATACATATCATATATATATATACACACAATCACATACATACATACATATGTAATACACACATGCAAGTACACACATACACATATTTGATTAAGAAAATGGAGGCAGGGACTGGAGAGATGGTTCGGGACTAGAGAGATGGCTCAGTGGTTAAGAACACTAGCTGTTCTTACAGGGGATCTGGGTTCCATTCCCAGGACCCAAGTGGTAGCTAAAACCATCTGTAACTCCAGTTCCAGGGAAATCTGATGTCCTCTTCTGACCTCTGCAGGCATTGCATAACACAGGTGCACATACACACATGCAGGCAATACACTTATACACTTAAATACATAAAGTTATTTTTTTAATGGAGGAGGGGGCTGGAAAGATGGTTCAGCCATTTATGAGCACTAGCTGTGCTTGCAGAGGACCTGGGTTTGGTTCCCACAATCCACATGGCAACTAACAATTCCAGTTCCAGGGGCTCTGACACCCTTTTCTGGCCTCCATGGGCATGACACGACATGGGGGCACTAGTATCCATGAAGGCAAAACACTCATACGTATACAAATGAACCTACCATTTGACCCAGTTATACCACTCCTTGGCATATACCCAAAGAACTCGTCCTATTGCAGAGACA